CCTCCCTCCCTCCCTCCTTCCTTCCTTCCTTCCTTCCTTCCTTCCTTCCTCCCTTTTCCTCCCTCAATCTTTCCCCCAGCATCACCCCCAGACGGAGGTGAAATTCTCCTGTCCAAAGCCAGCTTGGGACACGGCTGACCTCAGTTGGGGAATTTGCAAACTCCAGGAGTTCTCTGTTTTTCACTCCTTGTTAGCAAAGGAACAGATGCTGGGGAATTTTTTCCCCCCCTGCAGATGCTTCCAGAAGGGCTTTTCACCACTGAGAGGGTTGCTGAACAGATGGTTCCACAGAAACATGCCATTTATTCTTTAAAAAATCTTATTTTAGATCTTATACAACGTAGGCATTTTTGTTCATTCTGCCTCTCACTCCCCAATGGTCCGCGTTATCAGCCCGTAAAAGGTTGCAGAGATGGCCCCGAGGGAGGGCGAGAAAGGAGTCATGAATCCTACCTGGAATATGAAAATGTTTGGGTGCCTGCTGGTAGAGAGAGGACGCAGATCTGCTGTCTGAGCAGAGGGATAAGCTTGGGGTGCTCCGGCCACTTTCACTGCCTCCAAGGGGAAGAGCACAAAAATGGAAAAGAAAAGGAAAAGAAAAAGCATATAAAACAAAAAAAAATGGCAAGCAAAATAGATAAAATTCAATGGGGGGAAAAAAAAGCTTCCTTCAGATAACTTGTTAATCCAACAAATATTCACGTAAAACACTTTGGGACTCGTATTTCAGCCCTGGCTCTGATTCTGGGGCCAAAAAGCTTGAATCGGTCTCAGAATTATCTCTCCAGTTAATGAAGATGTTGGACTATCAAGCCATGGATTCACAGGGCCGAAACACCATCTTCAGAAGGGCTACTACGCCTGCTTGCTTCCCCCGAACATCTGGAAGGAACCCATCATTCTGGGATGCCAGGGGGATCCCTTGATCCCCCACGCATGTGGTGAGCCCTCTGGACAGGTCTCCCTCCCCCTCTCTCAAAAAAGCCCCCTCCCCTCCGGCTGCTCTGCTCGGCCTTTCGGGCATGCCGGCCCACCACTCGGCTGCACAACTCAGCGCCCCCCCCTCCGATGGGACAAGCAACGGGGCTCGTCTCCTGGCTCTTTTCAAAGGGGGTCTTAAGGGGGCTCGTCTCCTGGCCTCCCCTGGACGAAGATTTAAAGACTCTGCAGGCAGGGCAAAAAAGCACCAGGTGCAGAGGCATCATCACAGCTGCTTCTCTGTGTGAAATACCTTGCTAGGTTTGGTGAGGGGCTGGGACCACTGAGGACCCAGCCACACGGGAGTGCGTGAATCAGGGTCCAGATGTGGGGGGGGGTGAGGGAAGGGGATGGTGGGAACCACTTTCAGCAAAGCTTCCTTTCTCCGACCTGGTACCTATTTTGCTCCCTCCGTTCTTGCCCTCCCCTCCCCTCCCTCCTGTGCCCAGGTCCTATGCACATCTGCCATAGGAAGGGGCAGCGAAGGGGGCACCAGCAAGGGGCACCCGGTGGGAGAAGGGCGCTTGTGTGCGCCTCAAAGGGAAAGGGCCACAGGGCAGCGACCCTCCGTGGGAAGGCCATCCCTTGGCAGGGGCCCCTGGCAAATCGGATGCAGGGATCACGGGAAGGGCTTCTGGGACCCACTTCGGTTCTGGGATCCCAGAGGCCGCCTGTGCCTTTGTTCTCCCCTAGGTAGAGCAGGTCAGGCGGACGGCTGCCCACCCAGCTTCAGGGCATTCCTAGCCGAGCTCCTCCTCCTCCTCCTCCTCCTCCTCCTCCTCCTCCTCCTCATGCATTTGACTGGGGTCATCCAGGGTCTCAAACAGGCCCCCAAAGCCCTCCCCTTGTGTCTGATCAGGGGCCCACATCAACCAGCGGAGAGGCAGGGCGTCCGAAACAGCCTCTGCGATGCTACAGCCACGAACGGAAAGAGATCCCTGCCTCAGCATCCTCGCCCATGCCAGTTCTCCAGATCCCCACACAAATTCTGGGTCTGATCCTACAAAGTCTTTTTATTTCCATGAGGGATTTTTTTTGGGGGGGGGTTTACCCAAACACTGACAAAGCATGTTTGAAATAATGCAATATGGTTTATAAAATTTAAAAAGTTTTGCCTTCTGTAACCGTCGTGTTCTCGTGGAGGGCCTGGGCTGGAAATTAAAGTGAGAAAGGACTCACA